AATAAAGTGACGGTTATGCAAATATTAAATTACACCTGAGGGCTTAGAATGGATGCAGGAGGAAGGGAGGGAAGAGGGGTAGGCAGGGGGAGCAAGGTAGAGAGGATAGATGAGGCTGTTACAGAGGATCCCCAAATACCACTCACCCATTTTGTTACATATAAGATACCAGCCAGCGTAGAAGGCAGGAGAGAGACAAGGGGAGCAGTAGCTGCCTAGTGGTGGCTATTCAGCAGCCTGATGGTCTGGGGGTAGAAGCTATTGGCCAGTCTCACAGTCTGACTAGGATCCTACAATGGCAATGAATATATTACAACATTCCTCACAGAATGTCATGTCAGTTTAAGACAGTAGAGAGGAAGAGACAAACTAGATTTAAACAATTATGTTCATTTAAATGGATAATATGGGTTCATTTACACTGTGAAACAACATTAGGGCCTACTTTAGGTGTGAGACTCACATTTACAGTATGTCTGAGGCAATCGACACCCACACACACATTATGTCTGAGGCAATCCAACACACACACACACACTGATTATTTTCTTCAATGGCATGGGAGGAGTTTAGACTATGGGAGAATCTCAATTGTAAACTCCTCGCGTCCTCTCTCCTTGTCTCCTCAAAACCCATTGGAGGAGAAGGTCAGAGAGGCGGGACATCTGGCTTTCTCATCCAATGGGTTTTGAGAAGGAGACGACGCGAGAGGACACGGTGAGAATGCAATTGAGATTGTCCCCAGCTCGCTCTCCCCTAGTCCTAGTAAATTTACTGTGTTTCCACCAGAGGCTGCTCACTCAAGAACGCGTGGGTGACACTAGAAGAGAGCAGAGCGTGCATTACCGGGCATGCGAAGCGAGAATGCCAGACTGGTTTGGAGGCGCCACACTGTATCCCCAAAGATCCCTATAATTACCGACAAAAACAGATATCCCTATAATTACCGACAAAAACCGTACCGGTTACTTTGATATCGACAATATCGATAATCCTAAATCTGTACAAGACAATTGGATTTCTTCTCTGATTTGTGTCTCTAGCAGGAGAGATGAGAGTTAACTTCCCTACCAGTTGGATATTTCAAGGCTGGGTCACCCATCTGGTTCTCACTCTGTGCGCACAGGTAAGTCATAGGCTACTCAAAAACTCATCGCATACATAAAAAAAAAGTGCTGTATATAGATACTAGTTTTATTTAGTTGATGTATAGAGTTTTCTCTAGATCTAGAATAGGCCTTCATCTAGCCATTGTTATTGCTCTGGAGGAGTTGGAAGAAAAAATACATTAAAAGATTAGTTTATGCTTGAGCATCAAGTGGAAACATTTATGTTTGGGTCGTATCCATGCGCCCCCCGCCCTCTACCGGTACGGTAAACCACAGAAGCCGCGCTAGGCTTGATGCAGCTGGATGCACTCTTGCTGGCCTTAAGGTTGTTTTTACCGGACGTTCCCGTTTCGGCTCCAATATGTTGTGGGGGTGTTGTTTTGTTACAGTGTAAGTCAGGATCATGTGTCTGGGATTTAGGACGTTTTCTCTTCCGTCTTTCTCCCCATCCTACGGGTTTGTGTTGCAACTGTCTGAGGAATAGGCTGCATGTCAGATATTCCATTGAGAAATGCAGGACCTACAGTTGCCTTCAAGTAAATTGGCACCTTTGCACTTACCCCATTCATAGACGGCTACCTACCTTTAGGACCTATTGATGATAGTATCGTCTGGCCTGCGAAGTTTTGTTAAAAGCCCCGACGCTTGTTCTAAACGTACGGTTTTGGAAACAAAAGGAACGTATCTTTCATATCAGCCAGAAATAATTTTCCAAAAACAAAAGCTTAAATTACTACACACCTGTATAGGGTTAAGGTTCCCACATGGCCATATTCCCATGTTGCAGCGCTTGTTTGGTGAAAGAGGGAAGAGAGAGTGGACTACCTGTACTAATTAGCTAGGACTATCTGCGTTTCCAAACACCTGTGAGTAAGTCGGACACGCCACAAAAGTGTTGTCACTGAAAAATACTGTTGGCTGAAATTGTGTTACAACAGTGTACAGTAAGTGTGTATTTAGTATTTGTGGAATTATTTTGATCTGATGTGAAGGTAAAGGGCTTTATGTTTCTAGAACCTTACCACAATTGAGAATCGATTCAAGTTTAGATGGAGAATTTGGCTGTTTTGGCTGCCAGAGCCAATTCGCCTCTAAACAAAACATGTAAGGTTATTGGACAATAAGGAGTAACTTTAGGCTCCTTTAGTGCAGTTGTACACCAAACGTTTTTTGTAAATGTCAGTCTATTTGGCCTCAACTGTATACCATTTTTAAGTCACTGAGTTGTACATGTCCATCTTTTTAATGGCAAAGCTCTTGTTGTTACCAAAACATACATGTCTTGTCATATTTTCTCTTGTACTGACTCTCTTCTAATGAGAGATAATTTGTCAGTCTTTTATGCAATACCAAACACTAGTATTCATTCAGTCATTTATGTTTTGTCTACTGTGCAGGCAAACGATAAGTGTCTACAATATCTAAACGATAAGTGTCTACAGTACTAACTAGACCAGCCCAGGTGTTGCCTCATTCTCACTCCTGTAGGACAAGTCTTAACCTGACAGAGTGACAGACGAAGAAACCAACCAAGTTATGGACTGTGATACACATGGCTTCTATTTTGGGAGAAAATACATTCTTTAAAACGAAAATATATTGTAGAACCTAGATATAGGCCTATATATAGTATAGGCTGTTTTTAACCTTCAGCCTTATGACAGGTTTAAATGAGTTCCCCAGCCAGCCGTTCCGCACACTAAAATCACAATGTTTCCATTCCTTTAACCATTTATATACAATAATTATAACCGTACATGATTTAATGAAAAGCATTAAACATACACATTGTTTCACATTCTTTAATAACAGACTCATAAACACAGTCACGCAATAGGGTACCGCTTGCTTCACAGTTTCCCGGGTGTTTCACAGCTTCCCCCGCGAAAACGTGACTTAATGGAGCCTCGCGCGTACTAAAGAGTAGTGGACGAAGGAGTTCGCTTCTGCTGTAGCGTTCGTGGTAAAATATAACGCGTTGTGGTGGTGCTTCGATGACAGACAGACAGTCTACCACTGCCCACGTCCAGAGGCAGACAATACTTTAGATGGAGATCTGTATATAAAGGGCTGTAAACCATTGTTACATTTGTTAACCATTAGTAAACTGTTTGTAAGTCGTTACATATCATTTATATCACTTGTTAAGTAACATGAATGGACATGATATTATCATGCAATAATTCACAAAGTACCTAGATTTTAGTCTCTAGTCTACAAAGACCCAAGTGTTAAATCCTTAATGTGAGGGAAGTTGTTCTTGGCCAGATGTCAGAGCTTGGGGTGGCAGTTATGCAAATCTGAGAAAGTCTGGAATATATCTCATGTCAGAGGAGATGATGGGGATCAGGGATCACATCTCTCTCTCTCTCTCTATCTATCTATCTCTCTCTCTCTCTATCTCTGTCATCTGATCAAAACAAATAAAGATAGTATTCTACAGGTGCTACTGGTTGTGAGAACTGTCAGACACTCTTTCTCTAGTCCGCTATCTCGCTCACTCACTCATTCACACATGCACACTCAGTCAGTCACTCATCTCTCTCTTTCTCTCCCGCTCTCTCTTCCCCTCTCTCTCTCTTCCTCTCTATTTCTCTATTTTATTCTCTCGCTACCTCTCTCTCTGAATTCAATTCAATTCAAAGGGCTTTATTGGCATGGGAAACATATGTTTACATTGCCAAATCAGTGAAATAGATAATAAACAAAAGTGAAATAAACAATAAAAAATGAAAAGTAAACATTAAACTCACAACATTTTCAAAGGAATAGAGACATTTCAAATGTCATATTATGGCTATGTACAGTGTTGTAACGATGTGCAAATAGTTGAAGTACAAAAGGGAAAATAAATAAACATAAATATGGTTGCCCTTTTCTTGTGACAACAGGTCACAAATCTTGCTGCTGTGATGGCACACTGTGGTATTTCACCTAATAGATATACGAGTTTATCAAAATTGGATTTGTTTTCGAATTCTTTGTGGGTCTGTGTAATCTGAGGGAAATCTGAGTCTCTAATATGGTCATACATTTGGCAGGAGGTTAGCACCTCGTTTTGTGGGCAGTGTGCACATAGCCTGTCTTTTCTTGCGATCCAGGTCTCTCTATCACGCACTCTCTCTTCCTTTCTCTCTCTCTCTCTCTCTCTCTCTCTCTCTCTCTCTCTCTCCCCCTCTCTCTTTCTCTCTATCTCTCTCTCTTCTCTTTAAGCTTTCGATGGTTCACAGCACACACAAAAACAGTTTGGGAACCACTGTTTGTAACAGAACTGACTGTAGTTGCACTCTCAGATCAAGTTAGAATGGATGGAGGTTAGAGGAGCCTATGTTATATCCTGGCCTTTCTCTCTAGCCTGTAATCATTTAGGGTGGATCCAGCCATGCTCTTATATATTTAGTGAATTAAAACATATTGCAGCAACGTCTCATAATTATGGCCTGATGTTCGGAGGCAGTGGAAACAGAAATACGATTCCTAGCATTCTTTTGGTTTCCTGTCCCCTTTCGCCCAAATCTGTCACTGACCAATACTGTCTGTCAAGGTTGGGTGTCAATAGTCTCACCCTGCCTTCTTCCCTCACCTCCTTCCTTCATATCCTTCCCTCGTCTCTGAAACAATGATCCATCACAGTTATACAGTAAGGCAGCGTTTCTAAAACTCGGTCCTCGGGACCCCAAGGTTTTTGCCCTAACACTACACAGCTGTTTGAAATTATCAAAGGTTGATGATTAGCTGATCTGAATCAGCTGTGTAGTGCTAGGGCAAAAACCAAAACATGCACCCCTTGGGGTCCCGAGGACCGAGTTTGGGAAACCCTGCAGTATTAAAGGCCTATCTATATATGGCCCATCCAGGAATCAAACCCACAACTATAGTGTTTCCAGCATCATGCTGAGCCATCGGAACTTCTTCTTCTTCTTCTTCTTCTTCTTCTTCTTCTTCTTCTTCTTCTTCTTCTTCTTCTTCTTCTTCTTCTTCTTCTTCTTCTTCTTCTTCTTCTTCTTCTTCTTCTTCTTCTTCTTCTTCTTCTTCTTCTTCTTCTTCTTCTTCTTCTTCTTCTTCTTCTTCTTCTTCTTCTTCGTATGGGAACTGTGTCCTTCTCCAACAGCTGTATGTTGATGCATGGCAGCATTGCTCTGATCTCAGTCAGCTTGTCTCCTCTAACACATGTTGATCATTATGACTGTGGTCACAACTATGAGTGGCATTCATCATTAAAAGCAAAACAATGACTGATGTGAGACACTGTGGAAGTAATTAAACACTGGTTGGGATCTCTGGCACTACAGACACACAGACTAAAACCATATCAGTGGGGTTTTTCAAAGGGTTGGTCGCAGAAAGCTGATTTGTTCTGAGTTGCAGCTTAAGACGTGGCCACAGACTTTGTTTTTGTTTACTTGGTGGGTCACAAGAAAAACTTGAATGAGAAAAGCTTTAGATGAGTTTCTGTAGTCTTTGACTGGGGGATGGGACAGGCATGGGGGAGAGGGGCACCGACAGCAGAGGGAGGGATGGAGAGGGGCAAGTGTTGTACCATGTGACAGTAAAGTAAATCTACTGTAAGATGCTTTAGGTTGGGGGTCAGTAATACTAGGCAGAAGCACTCTGTGCCTGTGGTGTTTGTGAAGGTTTATATAAATGGAGTATGAGATGTTTTTGTTAGTTCAATTCCTTCACAAAGAAACTGTTGGTTCGGCATATTTTCTCTCATAACACAATTATTCTGTAATTCAGCACGCTGGCTGGGGGGTGGGGGGGGGGGGGGGGGGTACATGCATATGTGTGTTTGTGGTGAGGGGTATTATATTAGCTTACCATTGCACCCCTGCCAACAGCAGTGGGTGGGTAGACCACAACACGATCAGTGTTCACAGCAGAGAGATACTCATAGACTCATGTTTTAAGTGTCCATTATACAGATGTAGGATCTACATTTGAGCCAGTTTGCTACAGCAGGAAAATAATCCTGCAGCAACAGGAAATGTGAATTATTAGGTGAGTTATAATTAATGGCCATTTATGTAGTGGTTGATACATTTTTCATAAGGAAAAATAAAGTCTGAAATTTCTAAGTGGAAATTACAAACTTCAGAAGCCTTTTTAAACCTCAAATAAAGTGCATTCGGAAAGTATTCAGACCCCTTGACATTTTCCACGTTTTGTTACATTATAGCCATATTCTAAAATTGATTAAATTGTTTTTCCCCCTCATCAATCTACACACAATACCCCATAACGACAAAGCAAAAACAGGCTTTTAGAAATTTTAGCAAATGTATAAAAAATAAACAACTGAAATAATAAATTTACAGTGGCTTGCGAAAGTATTCACACCCCTTGACATTTTTTCTATTTTGTTGCCTTACAACCTGGAATTGATTTTTTGGGGGTTTGTATCATTTGATTTACAAAACATGCCTACCACTTTGAAGATGCAAAATATATATTTTTTGTGAAACAAACAAGAAATAAGACAAAAAAACACGGACTTTCAACTCCCTCCAAAGATTTTCTATGGGGTTGAGATCTGGAGACTGGCTAGGCCACTCCAGGACCTTGAAATGCTTCTTACGAAGCCACTCCTTCGTTGCCCGGGTGGTGTGTTTGGGATCATTGTCATGCTGAAAGACCCAGCCACGTTTCATACATGGCCCCATTCATTCTTTCCTTTACACGGATCAGTCGTCCTGGTCCCTTTGCAGAAAAACAGCCCCAAAGCATGATGTTTCCACCCCCATGCTTCACAGTAGGTATGGTGTTCTTTGGATGCAACTCAGCATTCTTTGTCCTCCAAACACGACGAGTTGAGTTTTTACCAAAAAGTTATATTTTGGTTTCATCTGACCATATGACATTCTCCCAATCCTCTTCTGGATCATCCAAATGCACTCTAGCAAACTTCAGACGGGCCTGGACATGTACTGGCTTAAGAAGGGGGACACGTCTGGCACTGCAGGATTTGAGTCCCTGGCGGCGTAGTGTGTTACTGATGGTAGGCTTTGTTACTTTGGTCCCAGCTCTCTGCAGGTCATTCACTACGTCCCCCCGTGTGATTCTGGGATTTTTGCTCACTGTTCTTGTGATCATTTTGACCCCACGGGGTGAAATCTTGCGTGGAGCCCCGGATCGAGGGAGATTATCAGTGGTCTTGTATGTCTTCCATTTCCTAATAATTGCTCCCACAGTTGATTTCTTCAAACCAAGCTGCTTACCTATTGCAGATTCAGTCTTCCCAGCCTGGTGCAGGTCTACAATTTTGTTTCTGGTGTCCTTTGACAGCTCTTTGGTCTTGGTCATAGTGGAGCTTGTAGTGTGACTGTTTGAGGTTGTGGACAGGTGTCTTTTATACTGATAACAAGTTCAAACAGGTGCCATTAATACAGGTAACGAGTGGAGGACAGAGGAGCCTCTTAAAGAAGAAGTTACAGGTCTGTGAGAGCCAGAAATCTTGCTTGTTTGTAGGTGACCAAATACTTATTTTCCACCATAATTTGCAAATAAATTCATAAAAAATCCTACAATGTGATTTTCTGGATTTTTTTTCCTCAATTTGTCTGTCATAGTTGACGTGTACCTATGATGAAAATTACAGGCCTCTCTCATCTTTTTAAGTGGGAGAACTTGCACAATTGGTGGCTGACTAAATACTTTTTTTCCCCACTGTACCTTCTTCCATATGTTTGGGGAGTCCCCCACATGCCTTTTGGCGAACACCAAACGTGTTTGCTTATTTTTTTCTTTAAGCAATGGCTTTTTTCTGGCCACTCTTCCGTAAAGCCCAGCTCTGTGGAGTGTACGGCTTAAAGTGGTCCTATGGACAGATACTCCAATCTCCACTGTGGAGCTTTGCAGCTCCTTCAGGGTTATCTTTGGTCTCTTTGTTGCCTCTCTGATTAATGCCCTCCTTGCCTGGTCCGTGAGTTTTGGTGGGAGGCCCTCTCTTGGCAGGTTTGTTGTGGTACCATATTCTTTCCATTTTTAAATAATGGATTTAATGGTGCCCCGTGGGATGTTCAAAGTTTCTGATATTTTTTTATAACCCAACCCTGATCTGTACTTCTCCACAACTTTGTTCCTGACCTGTTTGGAGAGCTCCTTGGTCTTAATGGTGCCGCTTGCTTAGTGGTGCCTCTTGCTTAGTGGTATTGCAGAATCTGGGGCCTTTCAGAACAGGTATATATATACTGAGATCATGTGACAGATCATGTGACACTTAGATTGCACACAGGTGGACTTTATTTAACTAATTATGTGACTTCTGAAGGTAATTGGTTGCATCAGATCTTATTTAGGGGCTTCATAGCAAAGGGGGTGAATACATATGCACGCACCACTTTCCCGATATTTATTTGTTTGAATTTTTTGAAACAAGTTATTTTTTTCATTTTACTTCACCAATTTGGACTATTTTGTGTATGTCCATTACATGAAATCCAAATAAAAATCAATTTAAATTACAGGTTGTAATGCAACAAAATAGGAAAAACGCCAAGGGGGATGAATACTTTTGCAAGGCACTGTACATAGGTATTCAGACCCTTTACTCAGTACTTTGTTGAAGCACCTTTGGCAGCGATTACATTCTCGAGTCTTCTTGGGTATGACGCTACAAGCTTGGCACACATGTATTTGGGGAGTTTCTCCCATTCTTCTCTGCAGAGCCTCTCGAGCTCTGTCAGGTTGGATGGGGAGCGTCGCTGCACAGCTATTTTTAGTTATCTCCAGAGATGTTCGATCGGGTTCAAGTCTGGGCTCTGGCTGGGCCACTCAAGGACATTCAGAGACTTGTCCCGAAGCCACTCTTGCATTTTCTTGGCTGTGTGCTTAGGGTCGTTGTCCTGTTGGAAGGTGAACCTTCACCCCAGTTTGAAGTCATGAGCGCTCTGGAGCAGGTTTTCATCAAGGATCTCTCTGTACTTTGCTCATTCATCTTTCCCTCGATCCTGTCTCCCAGTCATTACCACTGAAAAACATCCCCACAGCATGATGCTGCCACCACCATGCTTCACCATAGGGATGGTGCCAGGTTTCCTCCAGACGTGACGCTTGTCATTCAATCAGAGTTCAATCTTGGTTTCATCAGACAAAATCATCTTGTTTCTCATGGTCTGAGAGTCCTTTAGGTGCCTTTTGGCAAGCTCCAAGCGGGCTGTCATGTGCCTTTTACTAAGGAGTGGCTTCCGTCTAGCCACTCTACCATAAAGGCCTGATTGGTGGAGTGCTGCAGAGATGGTTGTCCTTCTGGAAGGTTCTCCCATCTCCACAGAGAAACTCTGGAGCTCTGTCATAGTGACCATCGAGTTCTTGGTCACCTCCCTGACCTCCACCTCCCCGATTGCTCAGTTTGGCTGGGCGGCCAGCTCTAGGAAGAGTCTTGGTGGTTCCAAACTTCTTCCATTGAAGAATGATGGAGGCCACTGTGTTCTTGGGGACCTTCAATGCTGCAGACATTTTTTGGTAGCCTTCCCCAGATCTGTGCCTCAACACAATCCTGTCTCGGAGCTCTACAGACAATTTCTTCGACCTCATGGCTTGGTTTTTGCTCTGACATGCACTGTCAACTGTGGGACCTTATATAGACAGGTGTATGCCTTTCCATATCATATCCAATCAATTGAATTTACCACAGGTGGACTCCAATGAAGTTGTAGAAACATCTCAAGGATGATCAGTGGATGCACCTGAGCAAACTGTAGAGTCTCATAGCAAAGGATCTGGATACTTATGTAAATAAGGTATTTCTGTTTTTTATTTTTAATAAATTAGCAAAAAAATATACAGTACCAGTCAAAAGTTTGGACACACCTACTCATTCAAGGGTTTTTCTTTATTTTTACTATGTTTTACATTGTAGAATAATAGTGAAGGCATCAACACTATGAAATAACACATATGGAATCGTGTAGTAACCAAAAAAGTGTTAAACAAATCAAAATATATTTTATATTTTAGATTCTTCAAATAGCCACCCTTTGCCTTGATGACAGCTTTGCACACTCTTGGCATTCTCTCAACCAGCTTCTCCTGGAATGCTTTTCCAACGGTCTTGAAGGAGTTTCCACATATTCTGAGCACTTGTTGGCTGCTTTTCCTTCACTCTGCGGTCCGACTCATCCCAAACCATCTCAATTGGGTTGAGGTCGGGGGATTGTGGAGGCCAGGTAATCTGATGCAGCACTCCATCACTCTCCTTCTTGGTAAAATAGCCCTTACACAGCCTGGAAGTGTGTTGGGTCATTGTCCTGTTGAAAAACAAATGATAGTCCCACTTATCCCAAACCATGGCGTATCGCTGCAGAATACTGTGGTAGCCATGCTGGTTAAGACAGTGTCACCAGCAAAGCACCCCCACACCATAACACCTCCTCCTCCATGCTTTACGGTGGGAACTACACATGTGGAGATAATCTGTTCACCCACACCGCGTCTCACAAAGACACAGTGGTTTGAACCAAAAATCGGCAATTTGGACACCAGACCAAAGGACACATTTCCACCGGTCTAATGTCTATTGCTCGTGTTTCGTGGCCCAAGCAGGTCTCTTCTTCTTATTGGTGTCCTTTTAGTAGTGGTTTCTTTGCAGCAATTCAACCAAGAAGGCCTGATTCACACAGTCCCCTCTGATCAGTTGATGTTGAGATGTGTATGTTACTTGAACTCTGTGAAGCAGTTATTTGGGCTGCTTTTTCTGAGGCTGGTAACTCTAATGAACTTATCCTCTGCAGCAGAGGTAACTCTGGGGCTTCCATTCCTCTGGCGGTCCTCATGAGAGCCAGTTTCATCATAGCGCTTGATGGTTTTTGCGACTGCACTTGAAGAAACTTTCAAAGTTCTTGAAATGTTCCTTATTGACTTCATGTCTTAAAGTAATGATGGACTGTCATTTCTCTTTGCTTATTTGAGGTGAGACCATGGCCGTTGTGGAACGGGTAGGGGTTGTAACTTCCCCCTGGGCAGGTGTCTAGGCGCCTTACACTGGGCGCACACCGAGCAGGAGGAAACACAAACCCTCACATCCTTCGCTAAAGTAGTCCACCAGTACTTCCCATTAAGGCAGTGCACTGTCCGACCAATACCCGGATGACCAGAGGAGGGTGACGTGTGAGCCCAGTATATCAAACGATCGCTAACCTCGAACGGCACGTACTTCCGACCCTCTGGACACTGTGGAGGAGTAGGATCGGAACGTAACGCCCGCTCGATTTCCGCATCAACCTCCCACACCACCAGTGCCACCAGACAAGACTCCGGGAGTATGGGAGTGGGCTCAATGGACCTCTCCTCTGTGTCATATAGTCGGGACAGGGCATCTGCCTTAGCGTTTTGGGACCCTGGTCTATAGGTGAGCTTAAATACAAAGCGGGAGAAAAACATAGCCCACCTTGCCTGGCGAGGGTTCAGCCTCCTCGCTGCCTGAATGTACTCCAGGTTACGATGGTCAGTCAGAATGAGAAAAGGGTGTTTAGCCCCCTCAAGCCAATGTCTCCACACCTTCAGGGCTTGAACCACAGCTAGCAGCTCCCTGTCCCCCACGTCATAATTGCACTCCGCCGGACTGAGCTTCTTAGAATAGAAAGCACAGGGGCGGAGTTTAGGTGGCGTACCCGAGCGCTGAGACAGCACAGCGCCGATCCCAGCCTCGGAAGCGTCCACCTCCACCTGGAATGCCAAAGAGGGATCCGGATGCGCCAGCACCGGAGCCGAGGTAAACAGGTCCTTCAGACGTTTAAACGCCCTGTCCGCCTCAGCCGACCACTGCAGGCGCACCGGACCCCCCTTTAGCAGAGAGGTAATGGGAGCTGCTACCTGTCCAAAGCCCCTGATAAACATCCGGTAGTAATTGGCAAAATCCAAGAAACGCTGCACCTCCTTTACCGGTCAATCTCCATCTCTACCCCTGACGCGGACAACCGATGTCCCAGGAAGGAGATGGACTCCTGGAAGAACAGACATTTCTCCGCCTTCGCATACAGGTCATGCTCCAACAGTCTACCAAGCACTCGACGCACCAGGGACAAATGCTTGGCTCGTGTAGCGGAGTATATTAGAATGTCATCAATATATACCACTACACCCTGTCCATGCAAATCTCGTCCACAAATGATTGGAAGACTGAAGGAGCATTCATTAAACCGTATGGCATGACGAGGTACTCATAGTGACCCGAGGTGGTACTGAATGCTGTCTTCCACTCATCTCCCTCCCTAATGCGCACCAGGTTATATGCGCTCCTGAGATCCAATTTTGTGAAGAATCGCGCCCCGTGTAATGACTCCGTCATACTAGCAATCAGAGGGAGAGGATAGCTGTATTTGATTGTGATCTGATTGATACCACGGTAATCCAGGGGCGGTGTGTTCATTAGGGCGATATGGGCGACGCACTGCCAAACGGGAAAAGGAAGGGATTTTTTTTCTAATCAATTATATCACGGCAACAGTAGTTATCAGTGTTCTAATCTAGACGTCTGATCTGCCACTAAATGTCCAATCAGGCTAAAGTCGTGCTTCAAATGTCCCCGCCCGTTTTGGGGCGATTTCAGTCAGGTTGAAAATCGCCCAGAAGTCTCTCATAGCCTCTAATGTAAAATCAATTTTTTTCAAATATCAGAGCTTTCAATACAATCTCTATGGGTTTCTGAGGGCTTGCACTTACGCGCTTTCGTCATACGTAACATAACCATGAACGTAACTAAGAAAAGAGCGGGTAGCCTCGTCAATCAATTCACTACTACTGTCAAAATGGTTAGCCTTCAGTGCAACTCGATTGTCTCTTTGAAAGAAGTTCCTTTTTGTCGGCGAACAAATCAAGATAAATTGGCAACGAAACAATTAGGACCTCCCAGACCAAATTTAATAATTCAACAGGTTTCTACTAAGCAGAGTCGTGAACACTGTCTACGAGAATCGAGACGACCTCATAGAATGTTTTGAAGCCATTCGGACGGGTTCATTGGGTTCATTTGACCAGCCCACCGTGAGAGAGGCATCTGGCTACGTGAGGATGCTACATGATGAAGATTTTATTTTTTTCCTGCGGCTTTTTCACAAAATCATGCCCCACGTCGACATTCTGTACCAGAAGCTACAGAAGAAGGACATCGATGCTGTCTTTATCAAACGTGCCCTCGACAGCTTCACAAGCAGTGTGCAGGCCATAAGGTAAGATTAAACAATATCATTCGATCTTTCTCAAAGCAGAGCTTTATTTGAAAATGTATGCATGAAAGGAGACTGCATTTGTGTTTGAAATTACATTATTCTCATTATATATGGCCAGTGGTGTAATCTAGCTTATTTTATATACTATGTGTACTGTACAGTGGTGCTCATAAGTGTATGAACACATTCTAAAGTTGACTAAAAAGAGGAATACAAAACAAAAAAAAATCATCTTTTGGAAATTGATCTTAATGACTTAATTAAAAAAGTTGGAAAATCCAACCTTTAAGGACACCAATTTTATTTTATTTTTTATTCCTCTTTTTAGTCAACTTTAGCATGGGATCATAAGCTTATGAGCACCACTGTATACTGTGCTGAACATCCAGGCTATGTGAGACACAAAGGCTAACTTAAACACTAAAGACTTTATGCATCCCTGCCCATTTTAAGTGGAACTGAAGTATTTGTACTATACATGGATACATTGCATATACCTGTGCATCACATAGACAACAATACTGTACAAATCCAACAAACACATTGGTCTGTTTGCCTTCAGGGACTCCTCTCAACAGCAGCTGCAAGAAGCAACAGGAGCCAAAAGACCCAGAACAGCTTTGAGAGAAGAGGAGAAGCAGAGGCTGTCTGAAGAGGTCTGCAACACCATCCTGGATCACACCAAAGAAAGGTTCTCTTTCTCTGGCCACCTTGTGAGTGCTACCTTACTGCAAGCAGACATGTTTGAAAGGTACTGCCATTCATTTCCTGATGAGGCTCTGAATGCCACTGTGAATGCATACCCCATGCTGAGCAAGGCAAAGCTCAAGACAGAACTATCTCTGATCTATGAGAATCCTGAATTCAAGGGATGCTGTGGTGCACTGGCACTGTACCAGGTTCTCATGAGCTACAACCTCCAGGAGACGTTCTCTGAGACTGTGACTCTGTTGAACATCCTCATAACTACTCCCATGACAACAGCTGAAGCTGAGAGATGTTTCTCAACTTTGACACGAGTTAAGACATTCCTGCGAAATTCAATGGGCCAGGAACGTCTGAATGCACTGGCCATGCTTTCCATGGAGAGGGAACTAGTCCTCAGCATGCCCGATTTCAATGAGAAAGTCATTGAACGCTTTGCTGTATTGAAACAGAGAAGAGAACAGTTTCAGTACAAGTAATGTAGCCTCTCTCTCTCTTTGTCCCTCCCTGTCTGTCTCTTTAACACACACACGCCCAAATCAGTTCACAGTTGATGTTGTTTAAAATAGTTATTTTTCATTTTTAAAAAAAGTAAAAAAATAAATAATCTGTTCATGTTCATTTTTACAAATCTATACAATTGGCCAGAATATGGTTGTTCATATTTACAAATCTATACAATTGGCCAGAATATGGTTGTTCATTTTTACAAAGCCATACAGATAGCTGTGTTTACCTTTTCTAGAAATTACTTTCAAATTCTGTTTTCAGGCAAAATGTCTATCACTGTTCATTTTCACAAATCTATACAAGAGGGCAGAATATGGAAGTCTATAAAAATGTCTTATTACCAATAACTTGCATCAATGTTTTCAGTAGCCTCTATCAAAAGCTCCTGCTTGCTTGTTGTGAATTATGCTCAGGTGCACATATTTCCAATTCAACCATGAGGCAAAAAATGTGGTAAAAGCTCTTGTTGATCCTGCAATCTGAACAAATACCAATATGCTGTATTTTCAGCTGATATTTCATTTGTTTATGGAAATGCATATTGTTTATGCAGTGTTGAGGAATGTGAAAGAACACCCTTGATTATTTTTACTGTGATAACTTATTTTGATTTTGTAAGCCAACACTTTTGAGATCAGTCAATAAATGCTTCTGGTATTGACTTATATGCTGCCCCTGTCTTCATGTTGTTGCTGGACATATCTTTTTAAAAATGTGTGTAGGTCACCTAAATCATCAGAAAAATTGCCCCCCCTGAGAATTTTTTCAGGAGCCGCCACTGCGGTAATCAATACACGGGCGTAAACCCCCATCCTTCTTCTTCACAAAAAAGAAACTTGAGGACGCAGGGGAAGTGGACGGCCGAAAGTAACCCTGTCTCAGAGGTTCGGTGACGTAGGTCTCCATAGCTGCCGTCTCCTCCTGAGACAGAGGATACACGTGACTACGTGGAAGCGCAGCGCCTACTTGGAGGTCTATCGCACAATCCCCCTGTCGATGAGGTGGTAATTGAGTCGCCTTCTTTTTACTGAATGCGAGTGCCAAATCGGCATACTCAGGTGGAATGTGCAAGGTGGGAACTTGGTTCGGGCTTTCCACCGTCGTTGCCCCTACGGAAACGCCTACACACCGCCCAGTACACTGATCAGACCATCCCTTGAGAGCTCTCTGTTGCCATGAAATGTTGGGGTCATGAGATGTTAACCAGGGAAGCCCCAACACCACGGGAAACGCAGGAGAATCAATCAAATACAAACGTAATATCTCCTCATGGCCCTCCTGCGTTTTCATCCGGAGAGGCGCCGTGACCTCCCTAATCAATCCTGACCCCAAAGGGCGGCTATCTAGGGCATGGATAGGGAAGGGCACATCAACAGGTACGATAGGAATCCCTAACTTATAGGTGATCTGGCGATCGATACAATTCCCAGCTGCGCCTGAATCTACTAGCGCCTTATGCTGGGAGTGAGGAGAAACCTCGGGAAACACCACTTTAATACACATATGAGCAACAGAGAGCTCTGGGTGAGTTGGGTGTCTACTCACCTGGAATGACTCATCAGTGCGTCGCCCACTGCCTCGATTCCTAGGAGACCCTCCCCAGCACCGACCAGCAGTGTGTCCTCTGCGGCCACAGTTGGTGCAGGGGACGGCTTTCCCTCCTGGTCTCCCTCCTGGTCTCCCTAGCACCAGCACCCCCGAGCTCCATAGGGGTCGGCTCGGAAGTGCTGGGGGATGGAATGGACGGCCCCGAATCCGGACGTCCGCGGGTAGCCAACAGGGTATCCAGGCGAATAGACTTGTCCACCAGTTGATCAAAGCTGAAGTTGGTGTCCCTGCAGGCCAATTCCCTGCACGTCCTCCCTCAGGCTACATCTATAGTGGTCGATGAGGGCTCTCTCATTCCATCCCGCGTTGACAGCCAGCGTCCGGAAGTCCAGCGCGAACTCCTGCGCGCTCCTCCTCCCCTGTCTAAGGTGGAATAGACGCTCACCCGCCGCTTTACCCTCTGGTGGATGATCGAATACTGCCAGGGAGCGGCGTGGAACTCCGCATAGTTGACCGTAGCGGCGTCTATCCCACCCCACTTGGCGTTGGCCCACTCCAGTGCCTTGCCGGACAGACAGGAGATGAGGGCGGACACGCTCTCGTATCCCGAGGGCGCCGGGTGAATGGTTGCTAGGTAGAGTTCAACCTGGAGTAGGAAACCCTGGCACCCGGCCGCTGTGCCATCATAAGCCCTCGGGAGCGAGAGCCGAATCCCACTGGACCCTGGAGGTGAAACGATGGGCATCGCCGATGGTGGTGGTATCGTTGGAAGGGGTATAGGTAGACCCCCTCTTTCCCATCGCTCAATGGTGTTCACCACCCATTCCCATTCCGCCGCTCCTGCTGACTCCATGAGTGGTGTGTGATTCTGTCAAAGTGCGACGTGAATGCAGTAGGCGAAGTCAAACGCAGGACACCGAGCTACTGGAAACGTACTTTTACTAACAAAGTAACCAGAGTACAAAACAACCTCCAAACAGGGAGGAGAATACCCGCACAATAGCAACTGCCGAAAATGACGAAAACAATCACACACAACACACAATGAACGACAGAGGGTTATATAGGGAATACAATACAACATAATAGGAAACAGGTGTACACAATCAAGACAAAACAAGTCAAACACAGAAACATAGATCGGTGGCAGCTAGTACTCCGGGGACGACGAACGCCGAAGCCTGCCCGAGCAAGGAGGAGGAGCAGCCTCGGCTGATTCCGTGACAATGTGGAAAAAGGGAAGGGGTCTGAATACTTTTCGAATGCACTATACACTACAAGTAACACATTTAACAGGGAAGTTGTAAAAGGAAAGTTCTCCTGCAACAGAGTGATCAAATTAAGATCCTACATCTGTACACCAAGCTTTAACGAGCCACTGAGGGGACCACACTCCCCCCACAGCCTAGTATCCACTCTGTTGACTACTAAGGTGCCTGTATGCACTGCTGAGGTGGGCACTATTTGTATTTTATGGTTTTGTTTAAAAGGGCTTGATCGTTAGAACAGTTTGGAATCAAATCATTAGAACAAAGTTTTATTCAAGCAATGTTTTATTCCAAAAGGAGTTCTGTTGACAGTGAGAATGTTTGCAGTGGTAACAGACATAAGCCATGGAATGCCTTCAGGGGATGAGGGATTGGGGGTTTTCTGTTTCTTTCTTTCTTTTTTTTCAGACGACAGGAAAGAGTTGGGCAATCCTCCTCTCTTTCTCTCCTACAACCACTGTTTAGTCTTACAGATAGACGTATGTCTCATGTCTACAAATTAATGAAGGAATGAATGACCCTTACAAAATACACACATGATAAATGAGCATTTTCACATGTGGAATAGCTGTTTTTACATGTTGAGCTGAAATTTTCACATGTGAAAAGAGACACGTGAAGTCAGTTGTTCACATGTAAAACCATATGTTCACATGTATTAAAGTCCATTTAAAGTACACGTTTTCTCCTCACATGTCAATTGCCCATTCACGTGTCATTTTTCACATGTTGTAACGATGACACTGGGAGTCGAGAAGCAGGTGGCGCGTGGCTCCAGCCGCAGTACGACGCCTGCCAGGGGGATGGCCCTGAGGGTGAGGAGCGGGCCGGTCAAGGCGGCGAAGGTGGAAATCACGGATGATGTTGGGATCCAGAATGTCCTCCACCGGAACCCAACACCGTTCCTCTGGACCGTACCCCTCCCAGACCACCAGGTACTGGAGCCGACCCCCACGACGTCGGGAGTCCAGTAGGGATCTGATGGCATAGACGGGACCTCCCTCGACATCCAGGGCGGGCGGAGGGGTGTCGTGGGGGACAGCCTCATCCAGGGGACCAGGAACCACCGGCCTGAGAAGGCAGACTTGAAAGGAAGGTGAGATACGGTAGTCACTGGGGAGCTGTAATCTATACGTCACCTCGTTGACCCCCCGGAGAACCTTGAACGGCCCCACAAACCGGGGGCTCAGCTTCTTGCAGGGCAGGCGGAGTGGGAGGTTCCTGGTAGAGAGCCAGACACGATCACCAGGATGGAACACGGGAGTCTCAATGCGGTGGCGGTCCTTCTGACGTTGGACGGCGTGCTGGAGTCTCACGTGGGCATCGCTCCACACTTCGTCTGTGCGCCTGAACCACTCATCCACCGCAGGAGCTTCGGTCTGGCCTGGGGTCCATGGAGCCAGGGCCGGCTCATAACCCAGAACACACTGGAAGGAATTCAGTGTGTTCTGGGCGTACTCCGCCCATGGAAGGAATCGGGCCCACTCCCCCTGCTGGACCTGGCAGTGTGGTGCTAGGACAACAACCTCTCTCTCAACGTAAGCAAGACAAAGGAGCTGATCGTGTGGATGGGAAAGCAGGTCATCCGGTATTCGGGTGCCCAGTCCGTGATTTTCATCCTCGACCATGAGATGGTGGGGTTATGGCGTTGGAGCCATGGGAGGCCGAGGATGATCTTGTGAGCTGATGCACTAGTGATGAAGAAGGGAATGTTCTCCTGATGGATGGACTCCACGGTGAGGGTGAGTGGTGTGGTGATGTGTGTGATTGTCCCGGATCCTAGTGGCCGATTATCAAGGGCTTGAACCAGAAACGGAGAGGAGAGCAAGTATGAGGTGATGTTAGGAGAGGAGGCAAGGGTCTGGTCAATAAAGTTCCCTGTGGCACCGGAATCCACTAGCGCTGTAGAAACAGTACATGAGGGACAGTCTGCTAGTGTGATCGACACTAAAAAGGGTTTGGCAGAAAGTGATGAAGAGGGGATACTCACACCTGCCCCAGGGGGTGGAAGATCACGTGACCATCCCTCTGCTCTCGTGGATCCCGAGTTGAGACGTACCGGACAGTACTGGAGCTGGTGCCCTCCTTGACCACAATAGAGACAGAGCTCCAGCTGTCTCCGTCCCTCCGCCGCAGGGAGGTGTGTGACCCCTACCTCCATGGGTTCAGGCTCTGAAACAGAGTGTTCACTGAGGGAGGGAGAGAAGCGATGAGGGTACCGATGCTCCCCAAGTAGGTTACCCAGACGGATGGCCATCGCGATGAGTGCGTCCAAGCAGAGGTTGTCGTCTCAACATGCCAGTTCCGTCTGGACCTCCTCGCGCAGTCCTCTTCTGAATAGCATACGGAGCGCCGGCTCATTCCATCCGCTGGATGCTGCTACTGTCCGGAAGGGGAGGGTGTACTCGGCAGCGGTCTGGCCATCCTGCCGTTGTTGGAGTAGTCGCTCACCCCCCCCCCCCTCTCTGCCCTCCGGTGGATGATCGAAGATACCTCTGAACAGAGCCATGAACCCCTCATATGAATCCAGACCCTCCTCTCCTCTCTCCCAGACGGCCGTGGCCCATTCCAACACCCGCCCAGTCAGTAGAGAAATAGCGTGGCAACCCTGGACCTCTCGGTGGTGGGGGCTCCCATCTGGTGCGCAAAATAGAGGGAGCACTGTAGTAGGAAGCTACGGCATTTAGATGGGGTTCCGTCATATTTATCCGGGAGGGACAAATGGGCATCGCTGACCTGGGCGGGCTGCTGAATGGACTGGTGTGCATTGCTCGCTGGGTCGACTGGTGGCATAGTATCCTCCGCTTGTTGAAGGCATAGCCGTCCCCAGTTGCGCCAGCTGGTCGTGGTGTTGACGAAGTAGGTATCCCTGTTTGTCGACCGTCTGGGAGATGTCCTGATGGAACGATACCAAACAGGAGTAGCGTCTGGACATGAAACACATAATCAATACTGCCTGGGGAATGAACCTAAGGGAGTGACAGATATAAGGGAAGTAATCAGTGAAGTGATGGAGTCCAGGTGAATCTCATGATGAGGCACAGGTTTGTGTAATGATGGTTGTCAGAGCCAGTGATTAGTAAACCGGCAACGTCGAGTGCCAGAGAGGGGGAGCAGGAGTAAACATGACACGTCCCAAAACCACCTTTTTTAACATACTTTTTTTCATGTGTTTTCTTTTTGTAAGGTGATTAAACGAATGAATGACATTTTTCTTACATTTACTGTCAACTGCCAATAGTTGTTTTAGGCCTTGACACAACCAGATTGGCCATAGTAGTCTGTGTTTTGTCTTCCAGAGAGCCCTCTCCAGACCCACCTGTACCCAGCAGCAGTACCTCAAAGACAAGAGATGCTGCAGCAAGTGTGAACCAGGTAAACTAAACCAGAGAAATACATGAATGGCCATTACCACCATTGCCAACCAATATGACCACTCTACAGTACCAGTTGTCTGGGCTTTAGCAGTGAGCTTTAGCATGGAAGAAAGAAACTGCCATGTTTGATTTTTCCTGAAAGGATGTCAAAGAGGAACTGACTTGCTGCAATACATACACGTGCACACGCACACACCCTACACATGCTCTAATCCCCAAATAACTGTCCATCTCTAAGCGTGACGGAAATGTATCTATTTTAGCCTCTTCCTCTTTCCTTTCTCTTACCTCAGTAGATCACTGCAACCTTGGTATATTAACCTGTGGCTAGTCTAACCCTCTCTTCCCCACTCCCCAGGGTCCTATGTGTTTGCAGAGTGTGCTGGGTACTCTGACACCAAGTGTCGTCAGTGTGGTAGTGATGAGTACCAGCCTGACTGGACCAACGAGACCAAGTGTCTGCCACAGAAGTTCTGTGACACAGGTCAGTAGGTGACTGAGGGAGTGGAGTCTAGTCTAGTTGGATGGACTTTAAGTCTATTGTTGAAGCTTTGTTTTCTATACATTTTAGCAAAGGCTTTTAGAGATGTTGATGTCTGTGGTGTTTGCTTTGGTTAACCACTAACCCCTGACCCCTGAACTGTGTGTGAACCCCAGGTAAGGGTTTTAACCGTGAGAGGCCCAGTAACCCCCAGGCTGCGGTACCCTGTCAGTGTCAACCTGGTCTAGAGTGTTCTCCTATCAACTGTGAGTTCTGTGAAAAGATTCCTACCTGTGGACCAGGATATGGACTGGAGACTGACACTGGTGAGAGGGACATACAAACGCAGACATGCACATGCACACACTCGCACACACACACACACACACACATGCTGACATACATATACACACACACATGAAGGCACACACACACACACACAAACACACACACACACTTATGTGTTGCACGTCTGTGTTGCCACTGTTGTCAGCTGTCCAGTTTTTAACTATTCTCTGTCGTGTGTGTTTTAAACTCAGAGGGCAGGAGAACTTGTGTTGCGTGCAAGAGAGGATATTTCTCTCCCAACACCTCTATAGAACCATGCAGACTGTGGACCAAGTGAGTTAACACACACACATATACCGTGTCCCTTCATACACTGTCCCATTCAGTAAGGCAGGAACAGGGTTCTGCAGGCGCCCAAAGCTCCACCACACCGGTGTTCTGACTAATGCTGCACCACTTCCACTGGAACACAGAGCAGCTTCTACCACTGCCAGGCTCTGTGGTCAACCAAGAGAACAGAGAGAGAGAGCAGAGAGAGAGAGATAGAGGGAAAGAGAGAAGGATAGATGGAAAGAGAGAAGGATAGAGGGAAAGAGAGAAGGATAGAGGGAAAGAGAGAAGGATAGAGAGAAGAGGGAGAATGCCTGAATTGCTATAAAACAGAAATAATTACCATGTGTCCTTGGGTGTTTTCTCCTTCCAGTTGTAAAGGCCTGGGGAAGAGTGACAAAAAGACTGGGAGTGACCAGACTGACGCTGTCTGTGGACCCCATCTCTCTGGTTCCTCTACCTCCTGGGTCCTAGTGTGTGTTCTGTCAGCCATCACTGTCCTCTGTCTCCTCATCCTCCTGCTCTTCTGCTACAAGGACAAACTCAAACTACTCTCAGGTACCTGAGTGGGAGATTACATTTGTCCGCCTTGTCTCATAGACTAGACGTAACATAGTAGAACTTAAATCCTGGACACTCGCGGTCGGGGTGGATGGGTGGGTATATAATGTGAACATCTAGCAACCCAAAGGTTTTGTGTTCGAATCTCATCATGGGCAATTTATATAATTAGCAACTTTGCAACTACTTAGCATGTTAGCTAACCTTAACCCTTTAACCTAACTCCTAATCCTAACCTTAACCCTAACCTTAACCCCTAACCCCTAGCCTAGCTAACATTAGCCACCTAGCTAACATTAGCCACAACAAATTGGAATTCGTAACATATCATACGAAATGGATGCTGGACATCCACAAATGAATTACATACCATACGAAACATAACATATTATACTAAATGGAGGGAGACAGATTTACGTTTACTATGTTATGTCTACCCAGGTTGAATTTGTTGCAGAGGACAATAGTCTTGAGGGAATCATTTTTTATAGCAATATGCCTTGGCATAAAATGTATCTGAAATTAATGACTGTCATCCTCTTATGTCTTACAGTGAATTTGCGATTATGTGTCCAGAATCTGAAAAGGACCAGGATACAGCAGGTAGGGTAGACTCTTTTTTAGTGGCAGAGATGACATGCATAAACAGTAGACTAAATAAAACATTCAGTGGCTCTCAGACTAACCTATCTGTCTGTCTTTCTCTCCAGGAGACTCTGGCCCCTCTCTACCACAGTGGGGGTGAAGGAGGCGGGGTAGGGGGTCAGAACTGCACCCTGTGTGAGAAAACCTGTCTGATTGGCCTGGCACACACCCCCTCTGAAACCCTACACACCTGTCCTACAGCCATACCTGGTGACCGGGTCAAACTACCACCCATTAAAGAGATGAAGGAGGAGAGGAGGGAGGAGGAGGATGAGGGGATGGGAAGTGAGGGGTCAGGGGAGGCGGAGGAGGTTTCCGAGGAGGGTGTGTGTGAGGAGGGTGTATCAGAGGGTGTGTGTGTGTCTCCAATGTGGGCTGGCTCCTGTGTGTGTGTGTTGTCTGTGAGGGAACCTTTAGAGGTAGGAGAGAATGAAGACTGTAGTCAGGCCGTCAACCCTGGAACCCTCGGGACCTGCTCCTGTGGAGGAGAGGGGGAGAGCAGGGATGGAAAGAAGGATGAAAGGAAAGATGGAGGGAGGGAGAGGGCCAATGTGGTTGAGGGCTTGCAAGGGAAGAGCTCTGAGAGGAGCTGTAATATCTCCCCCTACTCCCTCTCTCCCATCTCCTCTCCCCTTTCCCCCGCCATGCCGTCATGTGACCTCTACCTGCCGCTGACCCCAGCCAGGTCAGAGGTAAAAGGTCAGCTGATTGACAGCTCACAGGGGAAAGGGGATGGGCTATACAGACTGAACTCTAGCATAAGCTCCACCCCCACCCCCACCCCCACCACAGACACCACATCCACTTCAACCTCCACAACCTCTCCTGAACCCTCTGTAACCTCTGTAACTGTGGGAGACTGGCAGTCCAAGCTGAGCTCTGAGGCCTCCAGCAGTGAGCCAGACCAGGGACTTTCCTGGAGGGACAGTGGAGGAAACAAGCTCTTATCTGGGGGCGCGGAGCTGGAGTGTGCCCCTGATAGCCTCCAGAGCCAACTCGCGGAACCAGCACTCACCTCAGGTAGATACTGCACAGCAGAGCCACAATTTACAAGAAAAAGGCTAAATACAGTATTCATACCCCTTGACTTAGTCCACATTTTATTGTGTTACAGCCTGAATTCAAAATTGATTAAATTGTTGTTGTTTTTTCTCACCCATCTACACACAATACCCCATAATGACAAAGTAAAACATGTTTTTAGAAATGTTTGCTAATTTATTGAAAATGAAATACAGAAATATCTCATTTACATAATTATTCACACCCCTGAGTCAATCATTTGTAGAAGCACCTTTGGTGGAGATTACAGCTGTGAGGCTTTTTGGGTAAGTCTCTTAAGAGCTTTGCACACCTGGATTGTACAATATTTGCTCATTATTCTTTTTTAAATTCTTCAAGCTATGTCAAGTTGATTGTTGATCATTGATAGACAGACATTTTCAAGTCTTGCCATAGATTTTGAAGCTGATTTAAGTCAAAACTGTGACTATGTTGTCTTGGTAAGCAACTCCAGTGTAGATTTGGCCTTGTGTTTTAGGTTATTGTCCTGCTGAAAGGTGAATTTGTCTCCCAGTGTCTGTTGGAAAGCAGACTGAACCAGGTTTTTCTCTAGGATTTTGCCTGTGCTTATAGCTGTATTCTGTTTATTTTTATCCTAAGAATCTCCCTAGTCCTTGCTGATTACAAGCATACCCATAACATGATGCAGCCACCACCATGCTTGAAAATATGAAGAGTGGTACTCAGTGATGTGTTGCGTTGGATTTGCCCCAAACATAGCGCTTTGTATTCAGGACCAAAAGTTCATTTCTTTGCCAAATATTTTGCAGTATTACTTAAGTGCCTTGTTACTTTTATTTTTTTTTATTTTTGTTACAAACAGGATGCATGTTTTTGAATATTTTTATTCTGTACAGGCTTCCTTCTTTTCACTCTGTCATTTAGGTTAGTATTGTGGAGTAACTACAATGTTGTTGATCCAACCTCAGTTTTCTCATATCACCACCATTAAACTCCCTGAGCAGTTTCCTTCCTCTCTGGCAACTGAGTTTGGAAGGACGCCTGTATCTTTGTAGTGACTGTGTGTATTGATAAACCATCCAAAGCCTAATTAATAACTTCACCATGCTCAAAGGGATATCAGCGGCTGCTTTTTTAATTTTTACACATCTACCAATCGGTGCCCTTCTTTGCGAGGCATTGAAAAACCTCCCTGGTCTTTGTGGTTGAATCTGTGCTTGAAATTCACTACTCTATTAAGGGACTTTACAGATAATTGCATGTGGGGTACAGAGAGGGGGTAGTCATTCTAAAATCATGTTAACCACTATTATTGAACATGGAATGAGTCCATGCAACTTATTATGCGATTTGTTATGCAAATATTTACTCCTGAACTTATTTAGGCTTGCCATAACAAAGGGGTTGAATACTTATTGACTCAAGTCATTTCAGCTTTTCATTTTTTATTAATTTCAAAAATGTTCTACAAACAAAATTCCCACTTTGACATTTTGGGGTACTGTGTGTAGATCAGTGACACAAAATCTCAATTTAGTCCATTTTAAATTCAGGCTGTAACACAACAAAATGTGGAAAAAGTAAAGGGGTGGGAATACTTTCTGAAGGCACTGTACACATACATTCCAACCATTGTTAAAGAGGAAAGATAAATACATCCACTGGTGTTTCTCCTGGGTTATTGCATCTGGGTTATTGTACACTGTTTTGTCTAGGACTGTAACTGTGAAAAGACGTTTCTGAAATCTCAATGTTGCTCCTCCAAAATAATTATATTGGTTTCCTCCTAATATCCTACACTGTTGGCTTGTTTTAAAGACCACACACAGTAAGAATGGGAATCTGTGTGATGAGCCAGTGATTACACCAGAACCACGCTGTAACATTGTGTGTGTGTTTAACTCTCTGAGTGTTAGCTCTGCCCACCACAACACTCCTGTTTACCCAGTTACAGAGTTCCACAGGGTTTTGGAAAGTGACCACAGGTCTAATTGAAACAAGATGTGGTCTGAATACACATCCCTTGAGTAATACCCAGACTCACACACTTTCAGACTCTCGTTGATCACTGTATACTTTAATTATGCCCCAAAGCAGCAGTAAGTAAATAAACATCATTTCTCATAATGCAGTAATAACATGTCATTAACTGGACTTCCCGCTCAGAGAGGTTAATTATGGCAAAACCTCCCAAACCTTTTCACTCAGAGCCCCCCTTCCAGCATTGGGGAACATCCCACTCCCCCCTGCGTGCGCACGCACACACAACATGTCTATTTCTATAGAAACAAGCACTGTTCATGACACAAACTGTTCACACCCCTCTTGTTGGTGGAAATGTTGCAGGTTTAAAGCTTATTTCCTGCAATTCTACACATTTTGTCATGGGGTGCAAATAACATTTAGCTGTTTTAAATCACATTTTCTTGCAATTCTATATATTTTGCCATGTCTAATGTGTATTCGTGATATTTGAGTGACAAAAAAATTACAACAATATCTATGGGCTAAAAAATCTAATTAGAAAAACGTTAGTTGACGTAGGCTAGTTGATCTGGACATACAGTGGGGAGAACAAGTATTTGATACACTGCCGATTTTGCAGGTTTTCCTACTTACAAAGCATGTAGAGGTCTGTAATTTTTATCATAGGTACACTTCAACTGTGAGAGACGGAATCTAGAACAAAAATCCAGAAAATCACATTGTATGATTTTTAAGTAATTAATTTGCATTTTATTGCATGACATAAGTATTTGATCACCTACCAACCAGTAAGAATTCCTGCTCTCACAGACCTGTTAGTTTTTCTTTAAGAAGCCCTCCTGTTCTCCACTCATTACCTGTATTAACTGCACCTGTTTGAACTCGTTACCTGTATAAAAGACACCTGTCCACACACTCTCAAACAGACTCCAACCTCTCCACAATGGCCAAGACCAGAGAGCTGTGTAAGGACATCAGGGATAAAATTGTAGACCTGCACAAGGCTGGGGTGGGCTACAGGACAATAGGCAAGCAGCTTGGTGAGAAGGCAACAACTGTTGGCGCAATTATTAGAAAATGGAAGAAGTTCAAGATGACGGTCAATCACCCTCGGTCTGGGGCTCCATGCAAGATCTCACCTCGTGGGGCATCAATGATCATGAGGAAGGTGAGGTATCAGCCCAGAACTACACGGCAGGACCTGGTCAATGACCTGAAGAGAGCTGGGACCACAGTCTCAAAGAAAACCATTAGTAACACACTACGCCGTCATGGATTAAAATCCTGCAGCGCACGCAAGGTCCCCCTGCTCAAGCCAGTGCATGTCCAGGCCCGTCTGAAGTTTGCCAATGACCATCTGGATGATCCAGAGGAGGAATGGGAGAAGGTCATGTGGTCTGATGAGACAAAAATATAGCTTTTTGGTCTAAATTCCACTCGCCGTGTTTGGAGGAAGAAGAAGGATGAGTACAACCCCAAGAACACCATCCCAACCGTGAAGCATGGAGGTGGAAACATCATTCTTTGGGGATGCTTTTCTGCAAAGGGGACAGGACGACTGCATCGTATTGAGGGGAGGATGGATGGGGCCATGTATCGCGAGATCTTGGCCAACAACCTCCTTCCCTCAGTAAGAGCATTGAAGATGGGTCGTGGCTGGGTCTTCCAGCATGACAACGACCCAAAACACAGAGCCAGGGCAACTAAGCCGTAAGAAGCATCTCAAGGTCCTGGAGTGGCATAGCCAGTCTCCAGACCTGAACCCAATAGAAAATCTTTGGAGGGAGCTGAAAGTCCGTATTGCCCAGCGACAGCCCCGAAACCTGAAGGATCTGGAGAAGGTCTGTATGGAGGAGTGGGCCAAAATCCCTGCTGCAGTGTGTGCAAACCTGGTCAAGACCTACAGGAAACGTATGATCTCTGTAATTGCAAACAAAGGTTTCTGTACCAAATATTAAGTTCTGCTTTTCTGATGTATCAAATACTTATATCATGCAATAAAATGCAAATTAATTACTTAAAAATCATACAATGTGATTTTCTGGATTTTTGTTTTAGATTCCGTCTCTCACAGTTGAAGTGTACCTATGATAAAAATGACAGACCTCTACATGCTTTGTAAGTAGGAAAACCTGCAAAATCGGCAGTGTATCAAATACTTGTTCTCCCCACTGTATTTGAGAAGTTATAAATACTGTAGTTTTCTAAGGTATGCAATGACTAACATGACAAGAGGAACTGATGATGCATTACCCAATTTCAAAATTGCACCTTGTGCATTTTACTATTACAACTTTCAAGAGTAAGTTTAAAGCCGGACTAAGTTCCTTTAAAAGTTTTTTTTTTACGTTGTTTTTTGCCGACCCATTGGTGGCGCGCCCCACAGTTTGGGAACAACTGAATTATGGGATCACACCTCGGAGAGAAGATGGGCTGCATCTCAATAGTCTATAGAGGTTTCCTCTCCTTGTCTCTCCTGGACATAGACCTGCACGATAGGTGAACATTGTATAGCGAGCGAAGCAAAGACAGTTCTTCCACATAACTACATCAGCTCCATAAGGAGATGAGAAGCGGAAGCCACTTTAGACTAGAATGAGATGCAGAGCAAGTTTCACAATCAGTTTATGTCTGTTCCATTCTTTCCCTATCATAGTTGATGTTATCTGCCCTCCTAGGGTAGTTAAACTGTAGACAGTCTGCTGTAAACAGAGACACAAGGGGTTGTTTGTTTTCGTGATGGTGGTGAAGTGACATTTTTACACCAGGCTGGCCAGACTGGTATTCCAGTTCCAGTAAATGATTTCAGATGGGATTCCAGACACTGACACATAATATGTTATGATGTGTGTGCATGCATGTGTGTAAATGAGGAGAGAGAGAGAGAGAGATGTAGTTTTCCAGTTGTGTTTATAAATACCGTCAGCGGTGTGAACTATGAACATGGAAATAAGGGACTAGATGGCAGTTTGTTCCTCTTCATTTGAATGCAAATGCCAGAGTTGTTCCGATGGCTCAGTTGGTTGGAGCATGGTGCTTCTCACAAGTTGTGGGTTTGATACTACATTAGCTGTAATTTGCTTACGATACAAGCGTCTATAACAGTAATTCTATTTCAGCAGTGAAACGGACATGTCGTCTGTAATAATGTTATGACAAACTATACTTCTCTACGTCTAAGTGGCGGCTTGAATAAAGTTTGACATTTTCACATACAATGAAAACTGCTGGTCACACTGAAACCCTGATGTTAAATGATATGGTGATGATGTCCTTGACCAGGACTATGGTCAAAGGAACCGCAGCCGACCACGGTCTTTCTATGGTCACTGTGCACAGTCATCATCACTCCTACTCGCTATTAGTCATCTGAGGTCGCCCCTAACATAAACAGTTTTTTATATCACAACTTAGAGGACGCTGTGTGTTTGTGTGTGTTACTGCATAATTACACAACCATATCATGCATTGGCCTCTGTACATATTTCAAAAGAGGTTTGGTTCTCTGCGTTGGTTACGTCCCTTAACCTCTGGTAGTGAAATCAAACCTGATACCAGCTTGGGAAAGAGGCCACAATGCCTAGACTCTTAACTAGGCTAACTGGCTAAACTGACCCCTTAATTCTCTCTCTCTCTCTCTCTCTCTCTCTCTCTCTCTCTCTCTCTCTCTCTCTCTCTCTCACTTTGTCTTTCTCTCTCTACGCCAGGTCAGGTGACGGGGAACAACAACACCACCTTCATCTCCAGCGGTCAGGTTATGAACTTCAGCGCTGATGTCATCGTCGTCTACGTCAGCCAGACATCGCTAGGCAACGAGGAAGAAGGGCCAGATGATGCGTTCGGAATCCCCGTCCAGGAACAGACCAATGAGAGAGCTCCATTGTTCCAAAGTTCTGTGTCCTCCAAAAGTGTCAGTCATTCACCACCACTGTCTCCAGGGAACTCCATTACCCATAACCCCCCACAGCAGGATGACAACCTGCCAGTTCAGGAAGTGACTGATGAGTGGCCCAGTGACTGATGAAGTGAGACAAGAAAATGGTGGATAGTGTACCATAAAGCCATGAGAGTAGTGACGTGACACACTTGTTGCCACTCCAAAACCTATCGCTACGACCTACTCCAAACAATAGTCCATAATCTTCCTGGGTAGGTGCTAGGAATTGGAACTGGGCCATAGACTTAGAACTGGAACCTGGAGGACTGTGATCCTCATCTGGACCTTATGGCTGTCTCAATAGTCTCATGTAGCTTCCTTTCCTTCATTGTCTCCTTTCTTTCATTCTCACTGATCTAAAAGAGCTGGACAACTGAAATCAGGTCCATAAGTTTGACTCTCTTCTTGTTGTTATCCTTGGTGTTGATTTGTTCTCAGAGCACCACGAGTGCGTTTAGTTTTTAAGAAAAATGCTATGCATTTGTTGAGTTATATACTATACATGTAAATGTGTTGTTTGTTTTCTAAAATGTTTTTGATGCTGTCTGATGTTGGACTAATGAAGAAATCTTTGGAACGAAAAGCCTTATTGTCGTACTACAAAAACCATGGAAGTGGATCGGTGATCCACACTCGTGTGATGAGTAACCTTGTCTAAAAATACTTGTGTTAGCTTTAGCTCAGAGGGCTAACACAGTCGTGTGGACAGCAGGAGACCCGGGATTCATCCACCTTAATCAGTTGTGTTGACCCAAAGAGAATACTTTGACCCAAAGTAACTTAATCTGTGACTTAAAACTACCCTATGCAGAAATCACTCTGCCATATCCTGGTTGCTAAAATTGGAATAGTTCACCTAATTTCAGTTGATGTGACAAAACAAGCATGTATAGTGTAGAGAATCATTGTAGCATCTAAATCGCTGCGAAATATATTTTCCATAACCAAAAATATTGTATTTTCAGCTGTTTGAAGCTGGTGTACAAAACTGAAAGTAAAAGAAGCAAAAACCAAACTTAAGAACGGGAAGCATAGAAATAGCGCATATAGAACAGATCTACTGCTTCTTAGACTTGCTTTGAATGATAATGACAGATCGATAACTCCCGTTTCTATGTGAATTTGGTTGGGTCGCCCAAAAAGTTACATATTGCAGCTTTAAGACTTTACCTAGTTGAACAACATAGTGTCTCAGAGCATTTCGTATTATTCTATATGTAAATCTGAGATGCTCCATTTAGTATGATCTGTTACGTTTTGTATGGTATGTATTCATTTGTGGATGCCCATCATCCATTTCGTATGATATATTACGAATTACAATTTGTATGATATGTTACGAATTTGCAAAATGTACAATATGTTACAAATTTGCAAAATGTACAATATGTTACAAATTTGCAAAATGTATGATATGTTATGAATTCCAATTTGTTGAGGCTAACGTTGGCAAGGTGGGTAGGATGCTCACATTTGCTAGCTGGCAAACGTTAGCTATGCTAGGGGTTAGGGTTAAGGTTAGGAGTTAGGGGAAGGGTTAGCTAAAAAGGTTAAGGTCAGGGGAAGGGTTAGCTAACATGCTAAGTAGTTGCAACGTAGCTAAAAAGTAGTAAGTTGTTGAAAGTTGCTAATTAGCTAAAATTGTCTGTGATGAGATTCGAACACACAACCTTTGGGTTGCTAGATGTTTGCATTATACGCCCACCCATCCACCCCCTGTCCTTTCCTTTTTGCCTTAAGTAAGCTTCTGTCTTATGTAACCATACCAAACGTAACATATACTCATTCTACTGTCTCGGTTTTACATTTACTATGTTACGTCTAGTCTATGAGACCAGGCTCGGTTGAAATGAAAACCAGCTCACACAGTAAATCTACAAGACCAAGTCTGAGACCAGCTGTTGAATAGCTAACCAATCAAATAAAGCTTTCGAGAGTTGAAAGTGGAAACTTTTACCTTGTCTGTAAATAAACTATAAATATTGATTCAAATCAAATTTCAATAAATTACAGAACTGTTTTGATTAAAATGTAATGTTTTTTTGTGACAGCAGTCTTACCGTTATTCCATGGTTTACTGTCTGCTATCTGGTAATTACATTGAAGAGTTATTTATCTTCTCTCTGAGCCATAATGACTGGAAAACAGAACTAATTACACATGTGGCCGGGCTTCAGTTTCTGTCACTGTCCCAATGCAGACAGACAGACAGACTGACAGTCTTTCATTATCACACAAGATAGCTGCCAGTATAGGGCCAACGTAGCATTGGCCACGTTTAGCTAGCGTAGCATCTAGGATAGGGCTATTTTCTCTAAAACCACATGAGAAGGGCTGGCGACGCTGATTTGGGGCCTGGTTTGGGTCGTTTGTGTTTGTGTGCAAGTGTGCATGCGTGTGTGCCCTTGGGAACCAGAGGCCCACCAGGAGAGGAGGGTATTTTCTGTTGTCTGTGAAAACAGGAAGTTATGACTAGCCTGCACATGGTTTACATCAGATGCCATCAACTCAGCTGCTTCTAGAGAACATAAGAATAGAGAGTGTGTAGATTTAGAGGGTAATGTATTGGAGAACATTGGCACTAAACTATGATAGGCTGCCACCTAGTGGAGGATTTATTACTTGTATTACATGTATTGTACACAAACACATACACACACACATACACACAAACACTGCATTCCATGTAGGGATGCAGTGTTCTGGTTCGCTGCTGGTGACACAGGTCAACAGGTTCTCGCCTGGAAACTACCAGAAACTTCTTAGACAGAAATGCTGAAAGTGGAATATCTTCACCTGCTGTTTAGACAGGCTTGAATTACACCTGAGGTGAAACAGAACCTGTATGGAAGTGTGAGACTCCATTCTTATGTAGGGACCTGGGTTTTTACTGACCATACATGTGACACTAGGATTTCACAGTCAAGTCACATGGTCAGGATAAAACATGGTGGCCCACTAATAGGAGGAGCCTACGGCTGGATATCTCTCTTGACTAACTCCCTCCACATTTCTACTTATCACAGAATACTGTTACTATTCAGATACACATTTTGTAAGAAAGAGTTTCTCTATGACACACTAATGAATTAGATACAGCTCTCCCCTGATGAAAGAATGGTTTATCTGGAGCCTATCAATAGTCCGTTAAGAATTTGGAGGCATGACACACACACACACATAAGAGTCTCAACACAGCTTCCTCCAACACATCAGTTTCTGTGAGTGGACAGAAAGACAGACTAGTTGAAGAGGGGATTTCTGAAGTCTCCCCAGAGGATATCAGTTTTCTATCAGAAAAAACAGAGATGGAAAAGATCAGGTAAAACCAATCCCTATGGTGCTACTGTAAATAGATGTAAGGACATCAGAGAGAAAATAACTTGAATTCAACATTTATGCTGTTAATATTAATGTAATTAATTGTGTTGTTCCAGTCAATATCAACAACAAATGTCAAACAGTTTATTTGTTTATCATATCAGTTCTCTCTTTTTCAAGGTCCCTAATTACTAAGCGCTGGTCGTCTGACGTTCGTCTGGACGGGAAAACTGCGATCGTGACGGGAGCTAACACTGGCATCGGCAAGGAGACCGCCATGGACCTGGCCAAGAGAGGTAGACCATACCATCTTCAATTCTCTTCCTCTATATTCTATTGCTTCCCTTCTCTTCCTTACAGTCGATATCTGCGCCCCTCGTGGAAATCAAATTAGCATAATAAAAACATCCCCATAAAGATCTGTCTGTTTAAGCTAGACACATGGGCTGCGTCTCAATCCACCACATCCTCCGATGTCGGCCTTCTGCATCTGCGGTGAAAGGTGGCAGTGCTACAGCAGTGTTTGTCAGATCATGAGACATTTCGAAAATTGGTCTTCTCATGAAAACGTCTGTAGCATCCAAACTATTATGACCCCTCTATGGAAAGACGAGACTCTGAGCCCCACAATCGTCACTGGACTGAAGTCGGTACCGCCGATCTGCCAACCTCTGTCTGTAGCGTCCGAACAGTTTGGGCTACACACTAATATGACCCCTCTATGGAAAGATGACTTTAGGGGTATATTATTAATGAGAGAGGTAGGAACCAGTGGTGGTGCATTGCAGTGTATATGCCGGGAGTTTTACAGGCTACTGAAGTGTCAGAAATGTGCAAGACATCATGGACAGTATGGTAGTTTGATACTTTTTGTAAGTGTAAAGATAATTGAATAAAAAAGGGTTTCTCTTTCTCTAGGTGCACGTGTCATCCTGGCCTGCAGGGACATGGAGAATGCGGAGCTAGCGGTCAGTGACATAGTCAGGGAAATGGGAGGGGCCAAGGTGGAAGCCAGGAAGCTGGACCTCGCTGACACCAAGTCCATCTGTGAATTTGCTGAAAACATCTACAACAGTGGGTTAAAACACACACAAACAACACCATATAATGTAAAACCTATTAAATACCATACTGTCAGGGTTCCGATAAAGAGGCGTTCTGACTCTTTTTGTTCCCTAGCGGAGAAGGTGCTTCACTTCCTGATCAACAATGCAGGCGTGGCCATCTGTCCCTACAGCACCACTGTGGATGGATACGAGATGCAGCTTGGAGTCAACCATCTGGGTACGAGGCAAAACATCTGGTTTATTAAAAAGACTGCAAGCAACACTTTTTTCCATTGCCACATAAAGAGAAGATATTATCACTGATTGATTGCCATTGATTGAAACCTATCCATATTAACTACTTCCTGTTTCCCTTTTCCAGGTCACTTCTTTCTGACTTTCCTCCTATTGGATCTGCTGAAGCACTCTGCCCCCTCCCGTGTCATCACTGTGTCTTCATCAGCCCACACCATGGGCAGGATCCACTTTGAGGACCTGAACAGTGAGAAGGAATACCACCCTGTCAAGGCCTATGTCCAGAGCAAACTGGCTAATATACTGTTCACTAGAGAGCTGGCCAAGAGGACCGCGGGTGGGTATGGGTGTATGTGTTTCCATGCGTGTGTGTTCACCCTGCAGCATCCTGTAGAGAATGGATCTAAGCGTACACCAGTGCGAGTGTCTCATGTCTTAACCACCATCACTCTGTGGTTGGAAATAGAGCAAAGATGCCCTGAGTACTTGGACAATGTATGTGTTTGTGTGTGTGTGTGTGTGTGTGTGTGTGTGTGTGTGTGTGTGTGTGTGCGCGTGTGTGTGTGTATTAACAGTTCTAGGTGTGACAGCCTATGCAGTGCACCCGGGGGTAGTGAACACTGATCTGATGCGTCACATAAAGCGCCCCCTACAGGTCATGCTTAAGAAGTTCAACTACTTCCTCAAGACACCAGCAGAAGGAGCCCAAACCACTCTGTACTGCATCCTGACCCCTGATTCTGAACTCACCTCTGGGGGTTACTACAGGTCAGTGACCTTTCACCTCTCATCCCTGACCCTGAACACTAACCTGTACTGTACTTGATTACCCCTGAAAGAAGGGTGTAAACTAAAATAATTATTTCTCTCTCTCTCTCTCTCTCTCTCTCTCTCTCTCTCTCTCTCTCTCTCTCTCTCTCTCTCTCTCTCTCTCTCGCTCTCTCTCTCTCTCTCTCTCTCAGTGAGTGTGCACAGGCAGTGAGTGCCAGGGCTGGTAGTGATGAAGGCACCGCTCTCAAACTCTGGGCTGTTAGCTGTCATCTACTGGGCATCTGCTGGAGATGAACAGACATACAATAATGCTATCTTTACACCAAATTGCTTCTTTCTGTCACGCCAAATACTGCAAAAATATTGCTGTCATAAGTCCTACTATGTCAAATGATAAATGTGATGGTACAATGTGAAGAGGGAGACAGACAGGTGATGTATGATGGGGCTGATGGTGAGCATAGGTAGAAGTGGTACAGACAGGTTCTAGAATATTGAGAGACTGTTGCTGTCAGTAAACTATCTGAGACTGGTCAAGGAAAGCTATATGTCATATATTCAGTTAAGCTAAATCATGTAATTCTCTTCTGTTTTTACGTCTTTGATTCCTGATCTTTCTGGAGAAAGTAAAATGCTATCAAATGTTGTACCAACAGTCTGTTGCCTTTTCTTGTTGGGAATAATTTAGGCTTTCTAACAATTATTTAGACCAGCAATAGCTTCCTCTACAGAAATTATCTATTAGAACACGATTTAAGAGGTCTGAAAAGTATCACTAAAATTGGCCTATGGGGACATCCAGTGGCCAAAGCTTCAGACTACAAGACGAAGTCTTAAAATGAGCGCTCAATCTGCTCACTGACATAGCGTAACAGCGGTAGAAAATGATGATGATGATGTAGCCAATTGAACCTCGGATTATAAAAAGGAAAGGTTGTGAGTTTTCTACAGGATACTCTGTCGACCGCGTCTCACAAACGTTGTTAGTCACTCAGGATGTGTGGGCCAGATTTTTCCAGGAAATGAAAGTTATATTATTTGAACAAGGAATTATAGTTTGTAAACATTTGTTCTCTGACTGTCAAGGTGTGCCTACCTTGTTCAGGGCGAAACGAGTAGTAATGTCAACTGCCATACTAAACCAATTCGTTTAGTGTCCTTTTATATTCGAGGGAAAAGGAACACACATTGTGGGCTAGGCCTTTACAAAACCTGAATTGGCTACAGTAGGCTATCTCAGAATTGTTAAAAATACTGAACGGATCCGATAAAAGGCAATAATTTCACTGAATCAACTTCGAGCGCCCCATTTATCACATCGTCTGGTGCGCACTGACCTAAATCTCACTCCACTCATGGGGAAATTGGTCAGAGAGGACCCCTGAGCAGTCATTAGTTCGAGACAGTAATTCAACATAGTCATGCTGCGCATATATTGTAAGATCTCACAACATCTGGAGAATAAGTGAAACTATTTTCTTAAGTCATTCATTTAACCATTATTCAAACAGACAACCATAACCAGTTCTCAATTAACCACTACTATATTATGGTAATAATAAAATAAATATTATTTGCGCAGCACAAAGACGGGCTGGAACACACCCATAGTGTGACAGACGTCGGGTGTGCGGGCTGCAACGCTGAGGAATGTATCCAGTGATAAAACCTTGGGTCGATAGGAAACTCTTGTTTAGATGAACTTGAGGTGTTGAGGAGAAAGTTTGTTCACTGGGAAAGGAATGCATTCAATCAGGTAGGTCAATTACTATTTATATTGGGAAAAACAAAGATGCTATGGTGGCAGTCATTTTCTCTTTCAGTAAACAGAACTATTTTATGTTATTTTTAATGTTATTTTCAAATTTGAAGTGTTATTACTGTTGTAACTATGAAACATTGAGCAAATTGTTGTTACCACTATAGGGTACTGATATTAAATTGCTATTAGACTAGTCCAGGGCTCTCCGACCCTGTTCCTGGAGTGCTAGAGTCACTCCAACCCTAATCTAGCCCACCTGATTCTAATAACTAGCCGGTTGAAAAACTGAACCAGGTCAGTTATAACTAGGGTTGGAGCAAAAACTTACAGGAGGGTAGCTCTCCAGGAACAGGGTTGGAGACCCATGGGCTAGTCTATATCATATTAAAGTAAATTAAAACAAAAACATATTTCTACTTCATAACACATTTTATTATAGGTTTTCACTAAAACAATATTATTTATCCAGTTTTGATAGCCGATCTATTGAATTATTTCCATCTATCTGTAATATTTAATCTAGTCTTATGCTCCACAGAAGATCATAATCTTTTTCACTTATCTACAGTTAATCATAAAACTAAGTATTTATATTTTATAATGTGGTTCCGTGCTTAAGCTGGTATTCTTACTAGTAGCTAGTTACTTCATTGACTTGCTGACATCTAAGTTAAGTTGACATTCTGTTTGTTGTCTGCTCTGGGTGTCAGAGTAATGTCGTGTGTCTTATGTGTGTAATATGTATGCTGTTGCGTTATGTTGTAATATCACTACATTTCCTGTCTCTGTAATAAGCTGTTTTACCACATCCCCGAAACGATTTCTACTGTGTTTAACTCTGTGTTGATTGACTGTGTTGATTGACTGTGTTGATTGACTGTGTTGATTGTGTATTTGACTCTCTTGCTGTGTGTATCTGACTCTGTCAGGAACTTCTTCTGTGGCCGCTGGTCATGTGATGTGCGTCTGGACGGTCAGACTGTCATCATCACAGGAGCTAACACTGGCATTGGCAAAGAGACAGCCAGGGACCTGGCCAAGAGAGGTAGAGAAAACACACACACAGTTTTGTATTGCTATCCTTGTGGGGACCAAATAATTGATTCCCATCCAAAATAATGTTTTCCCCAACGCCTCACCCTAAACCTAACTGTAACTCCTAACCCTAACCTTAATTCTAACCCTAACCCTATTTGTAACCCTAACCCTAAACCTAACCCCTAAGCCTAAAATAGCCTTTTTCCTTGTGGGGACCGGCAAAATGTCCCCACTTGTCCAAATGTTCCTTGTTTTACTATCCTTGTGAGCACTTCTGGTACCCACAAGGATATTTAAACAAACACACACACAAACACATGCACAAACACACAAGCCGAAGTCTACTCCCCTTCGCCGGTAATTGGTCAACAGTACTACTCCTAGTCGGAGTGGGAACTATGGACAAGATTCTTCAATTAAGTATTTGTTGTCATTCAACGAGAGACGACTAATTTTCATTCACATTTTTCACTTGAGAAATGCTGCACCAAACATCTTAGTTCGATGTAAAATTGTGTGAAGAAGACCTCCTTGGCAAAAACGTCCAAATTAATTACAGATTTCTTGATTTATCTTAGATTAATTCAGACTATTTTGAGGAAGGCTATGTTGTTGCTATGGTGTCTCAAGAGGGACACATTATTTATGTTTATTTTTTAAAAAGCCATTTTCTTTTTTCTAAACCTAGTGTGTGGGCGCCTTTAGCCTAATAATATTCTCAGTAGCAGTCAATAAGGATCCAGGAGAGGTGAAGACAGAGAGGGCATTGTCAGAGTAGACCGTTAACCATCCGTCCTTTGCATGCGATGGGGCACGCACACACACACACACATGCATGCACACACACAGAGGGAGATTAAAGCTGGTTCTGTGTACGTGGTCTGATTTGTTCCGTTGGCTGCACTTGAAAAGCTCTGTGTGGAACCAACTTCCTCTTACAAAACACAACCGTTTGTGTTTGTGTGTGAGTGTGAATATGTGTGTGTATTGCAAGCATCGGGGCTCTGTTAAAAGACGTTATCAGAATGACGTTTCACTCATTCACGACTGAGGTTAGAGCTGGGAACGAAAGATTCATAACTGTCTGTCATTTTATTTCCTAAAGTAATTTGTTATATGAGGAAATATTGATCATACTTTACGATGTCAAGAAGTAGGCTAGAGGAAATAAATGAAAGAGAGTGGTTATATTAAATTATCAATGTAATTGTATAACCAATAGGGCAAATTGAGATTTGGTTGTCTTTTTTTAGACAGGCCGGGCCAAGACAAAGCCTTGCATGCATCACATTCTATTTCCTGGCTTACTGGAAAACAGTCTTTTACTTAAAGATCTGAAACTAGAATCCTCAAGTTACCTTCCTCTGTCCTTCAACTCACTTTTGTGTAATTTAAAATGTTGATGTATATTTTAATTTAACTCAATGAAAATTGCTGTGACGGTATAACAAAATAGAATCACTAAATGTGTTAATTATGTACTGTAAACAACAGCTAGATAAAAAATAAACTTTGCAGTGTCCAATGCACACATACACACACACTACTCACCCATGTGGAACAAATAAACGCTGTCAGCATAAAATCCCCCTGGATCATCACTGTGTGTGCGATTGGCTCAACTCAAACTCTAACTTTCCTCTTAATTGTTTGTTTATCGTTTGTGTTTTAATTTTGATTGGCTGCTCTGCCAGGGAATTTGGGAAACAATTCCGATTCCCACATCGGAGCAAAGAGAGGGGAACAAAAGCACTTTGATAGCTTCCAGACGGAACGCTCCCATGGAATAATGACGCTTTCTATTCCATAATTACTGGGCCACCACAGCTATTGTGTGTGTGTGTGTGTGTGTGTGTGTGTGTACTCATAGGCCCTCTCAGCAGGGCTGGGCTCATTAAAATAGGATAAGCAGTACATTGTTTGCCAAGTGAAGATGAGAAACACTGTGAAATGAACAGTTAAATATTCTGTAAACTGAGATATTAAGCTTGTGTTTTTAGAGATTTCTATGATATTTAGTTAAACTGTAGAGAACGACCATCCTATGATGTTCAGGGATTTTAAACACAAATGAACATCTTTCACATTTGTCCTCCCGTGTGCTATTAACCTTATGACCTGCCTATGTGTTACCTCTGACCTCTCTGAATCCCCTCTCAGGTGCTCGCATCATCATGGCGTGTAGAGACATGGAGAAGGCGGAGGGCGCCAGGAAAGAGATCACAGAAGATTGTGGAAATGAAAACATTGTCATTCACAAACTGGATCTGTCTGACACCAAGTCTATCAGAGAGTTCGCTGAGCTGATTAACAAAGGTATGTAACATTCAGGGTATATGAATGGATGGATGGATGGATGGATAGATAGCTGGAGGGAGGGAAAGCTTTTGCAGTGACTGTTTTTCTTGTGTTTGCAGAGGAGAAGCAAGTTAATATCCTGATCAACAACGCTGGCATCATGATGTGTCCCTACTCTAAGACCAAGGACGGCTTCGAGATGCAGTTTGGAGTCAACCACCTGGGTAAGATAAATCAATCAATCAACTTGTATTCATGTAGCCCCTTTCATAATGCATTTGCCATAAAATGCTGAGGTGCAACCAAAGCTTAAACCCTTCCCCATAGTAAGCTGGTAGTGGGAAGGGAAAAACCCCTAGACGATTCAACGTTCCATTACTTATTAAGCTATATACAGTGGGGAGAACAAGTATTTGATACACTGCCGATTTTGCAGGTTTTCCTACTTACAAAGCATGTAGAGGTCTGTAATTTTTATCATAGGTACACTTCAACTGTGAGAGACGGAATCTAAAACAAAAATCCAGAAAATCACATTGTGATTTTATT